TGTGTGTGTGTGTGTGTGTGTGTGTGTGTGTGTGTGTGTGTGTGTGTATACCTGGATGAGGTAGTGTGAACAGAGGTTGAGGAGCTCCAGCAGCTGCAGGTGGCTGCCAGCAGACAGGACGTCCTGAATGACTACAGGCTCTAATAGAATCTGGGAACAGCATATAATCAAGGTAAATTTTAGTCTGTGCTGTAGCTAAGTTGTACATCAGGCTTCTTATTTTTAACTTCTGACAGCTTTGATCCTGTGTTCATTACTATCCACTGCATATGAAAGGAAAAAATACTTCGCTCAGGAAAACATTTTAAACATTTGAATATGGCCATTTGTCTTCAAAGAGCACAAAATCATAATTACAGATGTCTATAAAGCAAAAGACTGAGGTAATATGTATATTCAGAACAACAAACTTAATTAAACTTCACAGCAGGCAGTCTATAGTGTTTGAATTCTTTTCATCTTTGTTTTTCATTTTCTGTTCTAATGAAGTCGCTTCACATCTATAAAATGTCTTTCTCCACCGTGTTATCCACTCATATGCAACATAAAGCCACACTGTAGGGCAGCGAATTCATCCTGCCATGCTTTCAGGAGCATGAAGCGGAGCTGGAGTACTGTGGGAACGGTTAACTGTTCTAAGCACATTAACGGGGCCACAAGAAATTCGACACTCCATAAAGAAAAATTGAATAAAGGTCCAATCGCACTAAACATGTTAGGTCTTACACGGTGGACTTGCCTAATCCAAACACATTTTTAAGGCAGGAACAGACCTCTGATAATCCGTTGAGCAGCGCTGCCCTACATAGCCACGCCACCGTGACGGCATTATAAGTGAAACTGAGAAAAATGACTTCATCCTTTGTCTAGATTGCCTCTAAAACCGCTGATACAATAGAGGGCTGAACATCATTTTGCAGCGTTCATGGGTATCATGTTCTGTTGTTTTGTTTTTTTTAATCCGGCTCATTATGTATTAATTCTAAGACAGAACAGAACTAAATGCAGATGCTCTACTTCCTTCCAGTACATGCTGTCTACTTACCGTAAGTGATGGGGAAAACAGTACTGGGAGCATTTGGTGTCTTGAAGAGAAAACAAACAGGCCCTTAAACCGTTTTAGGATTCAAGCAAATGGTTTATCGGCATTAAGCAGTTTGTTTACCATTGATGAAATATTTCCATGAACTACAAAGCCAAAAGAGAGGGGGAAAAAACCGATTCCAGACAGCTGTTGGGATAAGATTGTTGTTGTTTTGTTTTTTTCCTTCACTGCATCTGCACATTTTCATTTATCCCAGCATGGTTTCCTGCCAAGCCTGGGCAGCTGTCCATTTAACCACAAGCACCATCCAAGAGTTTCATAAGCTCAAAGTACTCAGACAGGGGGCTAATAATAAGAGGTTATTTACTCAAACTGCTCGGTCTATGTAACCTCAGGCTGAGAACGGACACAAACACTCTGTTCGCCAACTGCAAACAAAAACCTCCTGATTTAAAGAAAGGCAACCATAAACTGAGATAAGTGGGATATCATAAGCAACAAACCCTATATTTTCTTTGACTCAATCAGCATCCTGTCAGGAAGCAGCAGCAGTGACGGCAAGCTGGAATAATGACTGTAATAGCTGTTGGTGAATGCTCCTCATATCCTGCTCTCTCTCCTCCACTCAAGAGGCCCACCGCAGTTTGAGTACCTCAACCTCACGCAGAGGAAGTCAGTTTTATAACATGGCGCCTTCTTCAGTGTGGGAGTACAGTAACCTCCTATGCTCACATATATTGAGCGTTCTGCTTGTGAGTTTGCATCTGTAGGAGATAAAAGAAAACTCCTGTGATTATGTAGAAAAGTATAGACAAAAAAACATCCACTGTTGTTTCAGAAAGCTGTGAGGATTTCTGTGGGAAATTGCATAACGGATGCGGAGCTGAGAGCAAAAATGTGGCGGCATGTTTGCTCAGGCACCCTGCTGGCCTATGACATGTGTCCAAAGGATTTTTAATGGGTCATTATTTACAGTGTGGAGATAAGCATATTGCCCTCATCTCATCCACTATCATCTCCTCTGGGCAGACAGGAGGGGAGCCAACCAAAGCAGCTCAGCTTGCAAGCCCGCTGTTGACCTACTTGTGCTCCCTAACCATTTCACCCTTTGTTCATTTCCACTGTGGATATGAAATTATGAGTAATTACAAAGTTCTTGGCCCTTTCAGCATACAAAATGAGCCGTTGTGCAGCTTTTGGTAGAGCCGCAGTCACTGGAAAAAACCAGATGACCACAAATCTCACACATAGAGCTCAACTGGGTGTAAAAGGGCGGTATGGTTTCACATGACTGTTTTTCATATTTAGCATGGAATCGTAGCGCCTTCCCTTTCCCAGCAGTCATTTGGCAAAAGGCGGGTTACACACTGGACAGAACATCAAAGGCACTAGTACACCTTTACCCCTGCAAACTAAACCTAATTTCCTATGTCCAATTCTCTATTTTTTATCAGACCTGCTTTGCACTGGTGAGCTGCGAATAGCAGTAATAACCCTAAGAAATACCACCTTTTGTTGAATACGCTTCTTCTACACCACAATGTATTTGTATTATATCTGTAATTATTTTCAAATGGAGCTGTTTTAATAAGTGCTTCCCCTTCCTTAGGGTCTGTTTGGCTGCTGCCATGAAAAGACTCCAAAAAAGTGTACATGCTCTCTAAAATGGCAACAAAAACAGAATTCATTGCTATTTTTCTATACATGCTTGATGCAATGCAGGTGCCTGAAATTTGATTGCAGGCATATATTGTGTAAAACATTTGTAAGATAAGAAAATAAGAAAAATAAATGTTCTGACTTTCCTATTTGATATAGATCTCTAGATGCTCAACATTTTGGGTTTTATTCGTCTTATATTGCTTATTTTGTCCATTCTGTTAAAACTGTTCAATTCAAGATGATACGTGTCGGGAGCTCATTTGACAAAACCTGGGTGCTTTTTTTCACACTGCTTTGGTTAAACACTCGTTCACGTTTTTCCTGGATGATGAAACCATGAACCTGCTTGTACACTCTGAATAGAGAACACATTTTTTCTCATTTGTACCATCAATACAGGCACATTTTGTGTGTTTTTTCTCTATATTGTATTCATCATGATAAATAAATATCATGGTAATATTATGTCAAATATCACTGTGAGAAGTACCTTCAACTATTATTGTCAGATATTCTGCAGAAAACATTTCCATCTCTGAGTAAGGTTCTCTTTTTTCTGTGGGTTTGCCTGTGACAGCTTACACTCACCTGCCCAGTGTAGGCGAAATCTAAGGCGTGCTTGAGTCCAACACTGGTCACTCCTTGTAGGGTCACTTCGTCCGCCTCGCTCTCCACCATGCACAGGCTGAACATGGCCTAATGACACAAAAAAACAGAACTTTGAGGTAAGCTGAGGGAACATCACAACTATGTCAAGAGTAATTTTTCAGTTCGTGAAAACAATAAAACTAAAACACAACTAAAACAAAAATCACAGGTACGGATAGTATGTAAATATGCTTTATGAAAAAGAACATTTTACTTCCTTTCCTAATTGATTTAGTCTACTAGGCCTGGTTTGCTGGGCATTGTCTGGGAGGCCCATCTATTTAAAAAAAAAAGAAAATTATGCTGACACAGACACACACACAGTCACATGAGTGCAGGCTGCTCTCCATGTGAAATCAAACAGGCAGACACAGGGCCTGCAGCCTGGAGCTGCTGTGCGTGAGTCCAGCTTCCTGCTCGGTAATCAAAGAGATTGATTGGTGTCACACCATGTGGAGATGACAGAGCCATTGATCTGTGCCAACCAGGAGAGAGCAGCAACACGGAAGGGAGGAAAGAACAACGAGGCTATCGAGTTTCTGAGTCCATGTTTTTTTTTTTTTTTTTGCCACGATAAAACTCTAAAAAGCAACTTCTAACAAGCAAAAAATGATCTGCTTTGTACATTTCTTAGGAACGTGATCCTACTAACCAGAAATGTTTATCTCTCTTTTGAAACACAGCAGGACTGTGTGACAGAACCCCACCTCTCCATCTTGAATAAGAGATCACTCAACAAGAGATTACTTTTCAAAAGCCCTCAGGCTGGCCTGTTATCGCAACATCTCTGCAAAAATGACATTAACTCCTCCAAAAACTCATCCTGTTACCCTTGATTTATACCCCACATAAACCTTAACCAGATTCCCACCTCCATGTTTTGTTTTGTTGTTGGCAAATGGCTCTTTTGTTATTGTGTTGTTGTTTTTTTTTTACCACCGCCTGCTCAGCTCTCCTCACCTCTCCGCCGTAACGATTCACCGACATGCTAATTAAAAACTCCCGCTCCACTGAACACAGGAGGGTCCCTGCTTTAATCTGGGGTGTGATGGTGGCAGAGCTTTGATCGGAGTGCAAAACACAGAAAACTGAGCAGGGCTCACATGAAAAAGATTCTCCGATTTTCACCTTTTCACAAAAAGCTTAACAAGTGAGATATGGAACTGGGACAATGTTTGCTGGGATACTCACATCCCAAAGTCCTCTAACCTTGGAGAGGAACTCAGAGGAGGTTTGGTGGTGGCGGGAAGCTCCTGTAATTCGCGTGCAAAGAAATATGGTGCTTGTGAGCCTTTTGCATGCAGTGCTGCAGCTCAGCAGTTAGCCAGACCTGCTGGCAAAATTTATGTGCGTCTGCTTTTCTGATAATAGCTGAGAGGACTCGTGACTTCCACACCCACACGCTGAAACAATACTGTTCTCAGGGAGGCTGCTTCTATCACTGTGAGAAATATTGGGTCATCTCTTGGGGGCTGTGACTATTTTTACAAGAGGTTTTTTGTTTTGTTTTTCCTTTTTACTGAAAGAGCCACAAATCTACCTTACAAAACCAAGGATGAGGCGATACTGCAGAAGTTATCACTTCTCTTCTAAATATAGTATAGTGGTTTTACAATTCAGTGTGTTGATATAGCACATTAAAACAACCTCAGTTGGACAAAGTGCTTAACAATAGTAATTGTGCTTTATGGACAGCCAACAGCAGCTGACCAGCTGACCTCAAGGCTCTGGCTGGAGTGTAGGGCTGCAACACCTCATTTGAATAAGACGGGCCCATAGAGTTTAAACACTTAAAACAATCAATAAAACCTGAAATTTCACCCAAAAGCCAACTTTGAAGAATGCACAAAACCAGGGTGACAGATTCACACCTCTTTGTTCTGGTCAGCAGGCAGGGATTTTGAGCCTAATTCCAATCTTATATACAACGAATTATAGTAATCCAAACCCGATGCTGTAAGTGTGTGGATTGCTCTTTCAAACGCAGTCAGAGGAATATTGGAGTTAATCTTTCCGAGAGTCCTCAGTTAGAAAAAGCTGGCCTTGATGACAGCTTATGATGTGCTTATCAAATTTAAACAGAGGACAATTGTACCCGGGAATAACTAGAATCTAAATGTGTCTTTTATCGGTCTTAAGGTTAAAAAAGTTTCATCTCAACCCAGTCTGAGCCTCCCTAAGACAGTCCTGCAGCATTTGTAAAAATCTGGAAATTGTCTGCAAAAAGCCGAAAAGGGACTTTATGTGTTATAAAAACGGAACCCAGAAATAGCATTTTGATCCCTGGGGCTCAATGCAATTCAAAGTAAACAAAGAGTAGGAGTATTGTCTTAGATTTACATGAAAATGGAGAAGGGCTGCTGAATTCAGCACAACAGTTAAAAGGAATTCATTACATTTGTTTATTTGACATAATTTAAAACCAGACTGAAACTTTTAACTACCGTATTTTTATTAAGATCAAAGTGAGCCTGCAGTTGGATGTTGGCAACTTTCTTTTTCATTTTAGAATTTCCATGGTCTAAAATCCCAGATGAGTAACACAAGAGGACTGTGTAAAGTACCACCGAACCCACAGGCTCAGGTAGGAATTATCTGCGATGGATTATTGTGTATTTACTATTCAATTTCCAAACTGCTAGCATATCAGGGGTAGACATAATTAAAAAATTTACATTTGGATGCGTTTGCTGTTTCAGAGACAGTAGCTCTAAGGAAAATAGCATGTCTGTGTGTAGTCTCCCGAGATATTATTCTGTATTGATTAGCTCAAGTTGCCAGTTCTTCAAACACGGCAGATGTAAGTAGATCCAGTTATTTCCCACTGAGCTATCCCCTGTGTTCTAAAGTAAATTCAGAGGATTTATTGAAATGACAGCTCATACCAGCAAAGTCTTCCATATTCAATATGGAGTGGAGCAACACACAAATATTTCCATGGTTTCAACTTTTCTAACAGCTATTTGTTATTTTCAAACATGCATTAGACATTCATCTTCCAATGATTTACTTACCTGCCAATACGTTTGCACTCCTGTGCTTTAAGAACATATTGACACTATTACATATGCACATAAAATCTTTCTTCAAACATCATCAAAGACAAAAAGTAATTCTTTTAAATGTAAGCGGTCCTGGTCTTTCCAAAGGACAACTGCTGATTCTATACTACAGGCTACGGAAATCGAACAAATTTAATCCATCTGATCCAGCAATCATGTTGCAGTTATTGTACCACACAATCATTTATTAAATTCAAAGAAAATCTAAGCTGACATGACATGTTTATAAATCCCCGGAAGGAACATTCCCAAAATTTCAATTTGGGTGTTCATCTGAGAGGACTGATCAGATTTAAACACTAGAATCGATGTAAGTTCAGAGAGCGGATTGTCGTATGAAAGCCCGAGTGAGGTTGTGTGTATATCAAGATGAGAAATGTGTCAGACGACGATAGGTTTGGATTTGAGCTCTGTCCTGGCTGTATGGCTAGCAGAAAAAATCAACTAAAACGGGGGTGGGATGTGTGTGGGCGTGTTCGCTGAGGGTGGTGAGTGATGCTGATGTGACTAACGGGCTGCTTCTCCCCAACCCGTCCACACATCTTATCAAACGTGATGGCGCTGGAACCGCTCACTCCCGGTTCAGGTATTTCATGGCAACCGCTCATATCTGCTGCACGTGTTTGTCTGACTCCTATGGAGAACACCCTGTTTCCCTCCTTTTACTACATAGGGCACTCTCATTTCATCTGCAAATGAACTGAATTAAACCCAGCAGTGGAGTCAGATGACAAAATGAAGCTAATGCTGTTAAGCCACTACAGAGGAACAAGGGAGCTGAGTCAGTTTTTCTTGCTTACCGTAGCAGGCTGATCTAATAATCTGTGTGTGCTGGAACAACAGCGCTGCTTGCACTCGTTGGAACTTAAGTGTGGCATTAGTAAACCGATCTGATGAACAAAAGAAAAACGGTAGGAAAGGGAAGGAACAGAAGGAGGGAGAGGAGCCCGGCTGGCTCGAGAGGGTAAAAATAACCTGCGTGCACTCAGGAACACACAGAAGGAATAATCCCTGGGCAACTTGAACATATTTAATCTCCCTCTCATTTTCAAGAGGGATTAATACCTTCTACCTTCTAATCTTCCCAAAGTCCCTAAATCAAATCTCATCGGTGCACTTCTCCCAGCGCGGCAGGAAATCTTCTGTCAGGATGTCTGGCAGCATCAGTCGACATCAGACACAAGCCTGAGCAGCGACTGATGTTAGTCTTATATTTTGTACCCACAGATGTGAAAAACTTGTATCTTGATTTTTTTTTATGGACATTTTATTGTGCTGGCAGCAAAAAAAAAAAGAAATTGCTGTGACCTGAGCAAGTTCTGTCTCATTTAAGAACATTTTAAAGATGTGTGGTCTCATTTGGAGTCTCAGGTGGAACTTAGGTGGCCCATATTGGTGGTTAGAGGCATGTTAGATACTCCTTCTGCTCTTAATCTTGATTTCTGGTGGTGAGATCTAATGGCGACATAGGCCGGTGCCATGGACCGTAACATCCACTCATGCCGATTCTAACGTGCTAACATCTACACTTTCATATCCCCGTGAACCCTTCAAAGGATTTGTTTAGAAAGCGATGATCATCTTGAAATTGTACCAACCCTGAAGTAGTCGCTGCATGCTGCCAGGACGGCTTTGTGGGCGTGGAACTTCTGCTCGCCAGCAACCAGGGTGACGTCACACAGCAGGCCATCCTTCCTCTGCTGGTTGAGGGCAGAGAGAACCGAATCCTGGTGGGACTTTGAGTGACAGAGTCTCTGTCCTGTCAGCATGTCCTTGCAGCTGCAAAAACACACAAGCAGACACATACAGAGGAGGTGTCAATCTGGATTTTACTGGCTTCATCAGTTCAGAGAAAAGTGTATATAATGAAGCTAAAAGCAACTTTTTATGCTTTCATCCACAGCAGAAGTGTTTTATGACTTCTAACATTAACTAGTAAATTTTAAAAATCCTAATCAGAATGCTATCTTTTCTAGAGTCTTGAAAATCTTTGATGGTTTAATTGAGTTTGTAGCCACAATATCTTGTGTTATGCTGCAAATCCATCATATGTTGTACAGATATCTTCCCACTGTGTCTTTGATGGTGCCCGTTAACACAGCCAAGTCTCACACTTTTACTTATTTTGAGCTAAATGTAATGGTGGGCGTTGATGAAACCTGTGATTAAAAAACAAGTTCACATTTAGTGATTTTGTGACTTTCAGGACTTTTACTTGTTAGAAAATTCATTACATTGTCATGTTTTTTATCCATGATAATTAGATTAGTAATCATTTGGATTTTCTCAGGGTTTTTATCTTTTCACATGGATTTTAAAAAACATATGGTTAGGTAAACATTCAGAAAGTTGTCGGATAGATTGTAACAGAGAGGGAACCCTTGCTATTAGTTGTGTTATGACGCCTTTAGACATCTGTTCTAAACCATGGTGAATTTGTTAGGGACAAGCTTGAAAGATGGAGCTTAAAGCCTCAGCAAGCTGCCCAGATGTCCGTAGTTTGGTTGTGTGAACACAGGAATTAGCATTTTTGCATCAATGTAAGTCTTTGGTCAGCAATAAAATTGACTAAAAACACACTGAAACGTCATGGTGTGGTGGCAGGGGTGACAGGAAAGGACCCAAATTCAGACAGGAGGTGGAGGTGAAATGAGAACCAATCTTTATAGGAAAAAATCCCAGCTACCAGAAACAATGACAGGGGACTACCCATAGAATGCAAACCAAGGATGAAACGGTAGTAACAACGGCATGAAACGGACAAAGACCGAGACAGAAGATGGAGCTTAAATCATGAGGAGGAAGATTAATGACAGGAGACAACAGAGGATAATGACACAGGTGAAAGGGACGGAACTGATGACCGGAAGAGGAAAGAACCAAAGAGTTAAGGGATAATGAACGGGAACCATGAAAAGGTATATGAATTAAAATCAAAAACCAAAATGGTTAACTAATTAACTAGGAAAAAAGCACTCGAAACTTAGAATGGGAAAGAAACAAAAAACAAACCACAGATCCCAAAAATACGAAACTACAATAAAAACTAAAAAAAGGGAAAAAAACACAAAAAAGAATCAAGACTCCCCTACAAAATATCATACCAATCCTATCCAAGAGAATCAACAAAGATCGAAAGATCCAGCAGAAAAACTACATTAATAATTTTGATTTGTAGTGAAATACATATAATTGCACAAAGGAGGTATGCAGAAAGGATGGATAGATGTTGCACAAGATGCAGAACAAATGAACTAATACTAGTTTTTTTATAAGAAATTAGATTTGAGTTTTCTACTCCTTTGTCTGACCCATCCCATATACTCATCCATCAGTGGGACTCAGCCTCGTCCATCCAAATCTATCTAGGTCCCCTTTCAGTCTCGATTAATGCTGGAAATGCTGCTGCCTGCTAGAAAGCCCTGTTCTGTCACCTTCATGGTTATGGGTAGGACGAAAGATGACTCAGGCTGTGTGGTACTCGGCTCTGCCAAAAGGACAGCCAGTAGCAAAAAATGTCTAACAAACAAGGGAGGGTGACTTAAACATTCAATTGAAAAACCTGAAACCCCAATTTTTTTGACATCATGTTTTTATTTGTTATTTACAAAAGTTGTATGTTTACAGCCACAAATGGGCTGAATGCAGAGTGCAGAAGTTGAGAATATCAGGTATATTTTCCTTCGTGATCTTAAATTCATCCAAAAAACACTTTAGTAGACAAGGAGATTAAAAGGATTTTATGTTTAGTCGCCAACAGGGTTGTTCTGATCTACAGTTTCAACCAGTGTTTCCCAACCATGCTCCTCAAAGCACACTGCCCTGCCTTTTTTGTAAGTTTCCCTGGTCAAGCACACCTTGTCAAATGAATGGGTCTATCCAGCTCTTTAATCTCTGCAGAAGGCTGATGAAGCGCTATTCATTTGAATCAAGTTTGCTGGAGCAAGGACACTGTTTAAACCAAGAACAGTAATCTCTGTCCAATAAAATGGGTTTTCTTTGTCAATATCTTGCTGCTTTAAGTCAGCATACGCATGGATTTACAGTGTGTGCTCTGACTGGACCCCCTACCTGAGACTGGGTTCAGAAGGCATTCCCCTTCACAAGTGAAGCGATGGCGGAGGCGGAGGAGGGGTGTGACTTGGCTCCCGAGGACGGCAGTTTCCTCCCTGGGCGCGTGCATCAGCCTGCTAGGACAGAACAGCACGTCAGCTTTGCTCAGTATATCCACTCAGCCCAGCCGCGGTGTGACAGCCGCGGTGTGACAGCCCCCCCACCCCTCACGCCCCATCTCTCAGCTATGCTGCTGTTGTCTTTGACAATTCATACAGCACCCCCCTCCAGACCTTTAAAAGCAGACACGCCAGACAGCCACTTGCTGGAGTTCAGAGAAAGGAATAAACCAGCTCAGCACTTCTAAGATCAGCCTGGGAGTCCAAATCACTTCTACAACTTTGACATAATGTGCTACAGCCCTTAATTTAATACATTGCAAATAGGAACTGGTGGCATTAGGGAGAGAAACTAAGAAATCCAAGCTTCCTGGGACTCTCTGATGGAAAAATAAAAGCTTACTGTATCACAATAAGTCACCCAAGGTCCCCTCTGAGCTTAAGGCTTAATCATAGGTAGGGCTGCGTCCACCACCGGCTGCACTGCAGTCTGGTGCCCACTGAAATTTAGTGATCGACCTGTTCACGAATGACCTTCAGATACATGGCCACAGGCAGCAGCTACTGACCGAGGTGGGAAACCGGGAGCCCACCCTCCTGATGCAGAGCAAAAATACCCCCCCACACACACAAACACATGTCTCCTTCACATTATACTGCAAAGCTACACTTGTAAATGAATTAATCTGGTAACAAATGTGGCGTCCTGCACAATAATAAACTTCCTTCATGCAGTTTTAATCAACCACAGAACACAGGCTCATTTTAATTTTAATAAATGTTTACTATCAATACGTGAACCCTAGGGGAGAGGAAATACCTCCAGAAAAAGGGCTGTGATAATCACAACAAGTAGGCCATTGTGAACCACTAATCTCCTGAATGAAAAACAACCACATTGGCGTTTTAGGCACAGACAGCCGGTTTTTTTTTTTTAAATAAATAAAAAAACAGGTAGGCGTGCAGTTAGACGGGCAAGCGAATAGGACGGTGCGGGGGAAAAGGTTTGGGTTACCGGTTAACCAGACACCCATCAGAGCATTAACCGTCACTTTCACATAGCTTCCAGCTGTCAAAAAGGTCTCCTAGCAACAGGCCAGCGCCTCGGTCCACAGAAAAACTACGGGGACGGCGGGGGAACTGCCTCCACCACCACAGCAGCCCTGTTGCATCCACAGCCTTCAATTCACACCGCAAACAAGACGCCTCGGGGCTTTGCTGGAATTTACTACATCCAAAAATCGTCAACTGAATGTGCCGGGGGGGCTTACGTACCTCACATGAATGCGTTATGAGTCAGCCCAGTCCCCCTGTCGCGGCGCGTCCGTTACAAATGTCATTAGATGTCGCAGGTTCGTTCCGCTTCCCTCCACGGAGAGAAAGAGAAAAAAGGAGGGATGCGGCGGATAGGAGAAGTGCCCACTTGTCACCGGTACTTTTATTGGTTGTACTGTACAGTAGCACCTAAATTATTACATTAAAACCCCGCCTCTCCGCGGCGGTAGGTCACACGAAGACGGATACAGTCGGGAGACGGCGCCCTCTAGAGGGTAATTGAGCGAACTGCATGCTTACCTGAGCCTTCACAAGCGAACGATATAGGATGACAGGCAACTGCTGGGACGCTAGGGGTCCTTTGGGATATCCAATCCAGGATTAACAGCTAAAATAAATAAATACAATTAAATAAACACTTGCCTGGTCGCTGAATGACACAGTAACTTAATTCATGATCACCCAGGACACCAGAGACACGTTTTTATTTCCCTATCATGCATTTCCAATTTGAATAACTCTGTTTATATATCAGGAATAGTGGAAAATAAATAATGATTGGATCGATAGTTTTGTGATTTCCACCAAAGGTTGAACACCAGGGACGCACACCACCAACCAGGAGTACCCCTCCCGAGGATGAGTGGAAAAGTACGCGGAGTTGTGAAAAAAAACGTTTCTCAGTACACACCCAAAATAACAGTTTTAATTGTATCAGATAAACATATCCACACTGCTCTGCATTTACTCTTTTCCATCTTTTATGTGGCTCCTACACGAATGCTACATTCAGGTGTGCGCCGGCATTCTAACTGGTACTGTTTTGAGAGCGTTTGACTCACCACTTAAGTTAAACTGAGACTCGTTTTGACATGATTCAAAGTCCACTATGCCTAATGTTTACACGATTAACTTTCCAGTAATACAAAAAGTCAAATATCAACAGAAAGTTTTTTTTCCTTTGACAATATTGAGCGGAACTTTAATGTCTAACCTGGAACATATCACATATTTCCAACTGTACCTGAAGTCAGCTTAGAATCAGCCGAACAAGAGCAAGGGAAGGAGCTGTGCTGGACCTCGCAGGAAATACGCTATCGAATATCACACAGGAGCCCCCCGACGAGTGTCCATGTAGTCAACTGTTTCAGGAAACTCCTAGGGAGTCGGAGGTAAGTTGTTTTGTTTTTTGGTTTTTTGTTTTGCAGTTTGTTTCGTGCTGCTACTTTTCCCCCGAAAGTTGAGTCGTGTGCCAGTCCCGGCGTAGGGATATGGACTGATCGCTTTCCAAAGTCGGTGTCTGTTTCAAAGGGAAACCGACTAACTTGTTGACAGATATAATTGTATAAAAAGCATAAGAGGGCAATAGGAAACATTTACGAAGTCTTAGCAACTTAGTTATTTGCTCACCTGTTAACTTCTTGGTGCTACGGCTAAGAGTTAGTGGAATATTACTAGCTTAGCTAACTCTATTGTCAGGTTTAATGTTGCTTTTGGGTTTACCAGGTATGTTACTGATTCAATTGAGCAGACCTTTACGGGATTATCTATTTTATGCTGATTTGGGGTTTTACAAAGCACTATGGAGGACGTTGAGCTACACATGTCAACAAAGAAGTGGTCATGTCAGGCAAACAGCTGTACCAGAGAAATCACAACTGATAGAATCACAAACCTATGCATCCTATGTCATTGCATTATGTTTAAAACACTTTATCAGGCATAAATCTATAAAAACTTAACTAGAAGTGGAATCAAAAGGATATGTAGATATCCTATCTATATGTATATCTATATATTCCTTTAAAATGAAAATTTAAACCAGGAAAGAATTCAATTCTTCCAGGTGTTCAGCTGTCTCAGCTGATTTTAATGTACTTGTGTGTGTGTGTGTCTGACACTTTTATGTGAAGTTTAATGTGCACCAACAAGCTAGGGCTTATTCTACTAAATCAGCTATGATCTGTAGCATTCCCCACCTTGAGTTAAGTCTGCTCAGAGACTGACTGGAGCTGCATTAGTTAATGCCATCTGATGCCTGCACAGACTCCTTCTCCAGCTGGATCCTGAGAACCTCAAAGAACCTGGAGGCTTCTACTTTTATGATAAGGAGTTATCATTCTTAAAGGGACAAGAAAAAAATACCAGTAGGTCTTAAACTTGTCTTTCTGTAAAGGTGAGATATGAGAAGCAATGATCCTATATGTTGTATCTATAAGGGTTTTGATCATTTTACAATCCTCTAATTTCAGGGATGATGTGGGACTTACGTCTGCTGCCCAGAGGCCCGTGCTGACCAATGACAGGAGGGTTTTACCAGCCACGGCAGCCACTGAGATGTCTCCAGGAGAAGCGTTACGCGGATAACAGTCTTAGCCAGGAGGAGACAAAGTTTGGGCCAAACGATCCTCACACAGAGCCGAAGAGAAAGTTGTTGTAGTTTACTTACATAGCATGATGCCGGGACCAGCGTTGGTGTGCCTCTTTCTGATGTGGGTGGGAAGCTGCAGCTCTCACAGCCTGTTTACTTGTGAGCCCATCAAGGTGCATCGATGCATGGGGATGCCATACAACATGACTTTCTTTCCCAACATGATGGAACACTATGATCAGGACATTGCGGCCAGTAAAATGGAGGTGAGCTCTCATAACACAACACACACTGTTAGCCAACAAAGGCCCAGGTATTTCCTGCCTTGAATGATACTTTTATTATCATTATAGTTGTCATTATTCAACGCTGCCGCTGTCTTTAGGTCAATTTCACCCATTTCATAACTTTGGGTTTTCTTCCTTACAATTGGCTGAAAATGCAATGGATGACTCCAAAATGTGTTCTTCAATCATTTTATTTGCGTTGATACATCAACAGGTGTGCTTCTGATCTGAAAAATAGTCAAAAATAACTCTGAGTTCCTGCTGTTTTACTCAAAACGGAGATATAATTTAATATAAATGAGGCCTATTAGACCATACATTACGAAAGTAAAGGGAACATTTATTTGGTGGTGTGGTGGTAGCTGCGTCGCCTCATAGCAAGAGGGTTCCTGTTTCAAATTCCCCAGTGGAACGTGATCTGTCTTTGTGGAATTTGCATGTTGTCCCCAGTGTCTGTGTGGGTTCTCTCTCTCTCCCACCGTCCAAAAAAATACATGCGTGTTAGGTTAATTGACACTAAATTGCCCCAAGGAGGGAACATGAGTGAGTGTGTGGTTGTTTATTTCTGTGTGGCCCTGCGATGGATTGCCAGGAAAGGCTCCAGCCAACCCTGTTGCATAGAAAATGGATGGATGTAAAAGTTGTGGTATTGGGTCGGAAAAAGTTTATTAAAAGTTGGACACTCATTATATTCCTAATGCATTTTATTCATTATGGTGTAAGTAGTGTCTTCCGTTGAAAAATACTGAAATTGTACTTTCAAATCATTGGCCTGGCTAAGCTTATAACATATACCATTCTGTGGTTTTCCATCTACCTCTGTACCTCTGATCATAACCATAGTTAAAAGAATTCACGATTTCTGCTTTTTAGAATAGAAAAAATAGGTATATTGTACCATATATTGCTAAATTAGATGTCCAATGTATGTTAGTCCTACAATAAATCATGCATCGTATTTGGTACATATACTTTCTGAGACCTTTGGCATAATTTAATGGAAAATCTTAGCTCAAAAGCTGGCTGCACATCATCAGGTATACCTGGCTGATAACAGTGGGTAGAAAACTACACAACAATAATTTTGACTTGTTGCACAGTAGGAATTGATGAATATTCAAAATGATTTCTTTTTTTTTCATATTTCGTTAACGGGCCAAATAAAAACTTCAGACTATAACATTTTTTTTTTTATTCTCCCTATTTCTTCTGGGATGATGCTTTAAAGGCTTAATATTTTACAAACGTGAAAGAAAATAGGAAATAGGAGATTATAGGAAAGAAATAATCTTAATGTTACAAAATAGTACACAAACAAGCTCGTCACACATCAGCTTATGGGGTTAAAAGCATGGAAGCCCCATCACACGGTATCATAAAAAAAACTAAAATGTTGATTTCCTGCAGCAGAAGTTAAAAGCACTAGAGAGCTTATTCTGGTTATTTGATTTTTTAAAATCCTGCCCTCATCTGAAAATATCTCTGACACTGGATAGATGCCCGGATATGTTGCATTAACACGAGAGGATGGCAGCCGACAGTAAAGCTGCTGAGCTTCCTGTCAAATTAGTGCCTGCATGATGAAATCAGTGTCATCAGCTTCACTGATGGCAACAGAAACTGAACTGGGTATTCATTAAACAGCCTCCAACAGGCAATCAGTGGGCTTCATTTCATTGCTTGGATCAGATAACGTTGGATAATGACTTGTCCGAGCTAATGAGTGAATTCCCTTTCCGGATAATGAGCCGTTTATGTTAATAATTTTTGGATCTTTTTTCTATTTTTGTTCATCATCTCATGAGAGTGGAATTGATTTGGAAAGCTGTTGTATTTTATTGCATTTGCTAACAGTTACTCTGTTGCTTACATTGCTTTTTCAAGAATGTGCTCTGTACAGAATTAGATTTTTTAAAATCAAATCTTTTTTTTTAAATGGTTAAAGGCACGCTTAACAACAACATTTGTAACCCTTGAGTACAAAGTTGATGCTATGTTGCCAGTTGGATCACATCTACTCTAATGGCCGATTCCTTCTTTGTAGAACATCCATAGAAAAATAAGGACATGCAGACATACCTCAATATTAACGTTCATCATAAATATCTGCAATACTACCAAGAGATTAGTATTTTTCAACGTGGCAGGTGCCAGTGTGTGTGTGTTATGGACTTCTTTTGACATGTTTTTTTGTATTGTGACTGTCGGGTTCATGGTTGTGTCCCAATAAGACATATTGTGGCCAGAGTAGCAGAGCTTAATCCTTGAGCAGGTCTGGAGAGCATACACAAATCCAGCTGTGGGGAGGGATAATTATGTGAGCCATTCCTCCATGTTGTCGCCCAGCCTTACCTACAGAAACAAAGTGAGGCGTTGGTCAGTTTTTCTTAAAAATATGTTCATATTAGATATGTTGAATATGCAATTTCCCAGGAAATTAAAGGCATTAAGAGAGTTTCTTGTGGTCTGGGGCTTTTTCAGGCCCTATCATTCAGCACCGTTTGGCCTGATGTGCCTTAAGGCCAGTGGCCGTCTCATGTCTCTAAGCAGCCAAGGCTATTCCTCTTTCGTTGGCTTCTTTTTTTCCCCTGAAATTCCGGAGGGCCGGGGTTTGGATTACACACGTTTGGTGTCAGAGTTTTGAGCACAAACAGAGGTCTGCCGAAGCTTTCCTTTGTGTGTCATTTGGCAAAGGTGTGGGCTTCTTGTTTCAGTGCAACCTTGGCCACGGGCAACTCTATCGACTTTGTTGTGAAGGGGCTTTGATTTCTAGAGGAAGGGGTGGGACACACCCAGCCCTGCACAAAGCCCAGTGCACATACCACAATGAGTATCCTCTGCCTTGTAATAACTCACTCATTTTCCTCTCATGCACCGTCTAGCTTTCATGCTCCTGTCTCTCGGGTGACAGACTTACACTCTTTTGATCTACATTCAACATTAGACACTTACTTTCTGGTTTATCACAAAGCCCAAATGCTGGAATCAAGCAGACTTCTGCTTTATTTTGGTTCTATTCTCCAGAGGTGAGCGTCCTCTGCCTTTGGTCCCAGATTCCACAAGTTCGCCAGCTTTTTAAAAGTGTTTGAATAGAAAGGAAGCGGGAAGACTAACTGACACACTGTGAGGGACCCGGAACACTTGAGAGTCTTAAAAGTTTGAGCTAAACTTTGCAAAGCGAGAGCCCGGTAATTTTTTCCAAATCATTTAATCCTCGAGGCACTTTGCTGTGAAAATTCTCTTCAAAGGATTTGGCCATAAATAGCAAATCAGCGATCTGCCGCTGATCCCAGCTGACGTCTCTCTGGAAGGGGAGCAGTTTTTTTTGTTTTTTTTTACTGGTACTGCTGTAAAGCAAATAAGGGTCAGATTGCTGAGCCACCGGGAGCTCGGAGTCAGGACCTCCAGAGGAGAAAACAAAGACGCTCACTGTCGCCGGGCCGATCCGAGGCCTCAGGGTTGTGAGACCACTGCCTGACTGAATTTCAAGAGGAACACTAAATAGCACACTGTACTCTTGTGTGTGTGTGTGTGTGTGTGTGCGTCTATACAAACATTAACAGCTTTACGGTACAGAGTCTGTTCACTTCAAATCCTTTGATTATATTATGCACATTTTGTACTCGGTAAACTAACGGGAAAGTTGTCTGTCAAAAATCGACCTCCTTATGATCGGATCTGCGCATTCCAGCCCTCCTAGAGTTTCAGTGTGTTTCCAAATGTCCTTACTCTCATTTCCTGCCACCTATACCGCCCGCCCACCCCCTCCCTTTTTCAGCCCACAAGCTCCTGGCCGGTTTGTTGAAAAAGGAGAATATGGCCTCCAGTGAATGGGCTGCTTGGTGCGGTGCTGGAGATAATAGCCCAGCCCGGCAAAATATAGCTCATCACCGAGTATCAGAACCGAAAAATACATCCAAAATTACCAGGACCAAAAAGCTCAGGCTGAAAAAAGCAACTTTTTTATCGGCAGATATGCTGTTTTCTGCCTTTGCTGCCCCCCAGTTCATTAAAGTTTGAAGATCAGCACCATTATTTTTTGATAACTCAATCATAAAGAATCATTTTCAATAAAAATCACGTACAAAATAAGTATTGGGATCAGCTCATTGTTCACCTCTAACCTACATCCAAGGCCCCTGTCAGACACCCTGTAATGATTGGCAGCAGCTATCTAAACACAGTCTGGTACCACACACGTCGCACAGAGCTGCAGTTTCCACCTCAGCCTGCAGAACAATCCAAAGGATTGCATCGATACACTTATCAGTTAAGAGCAGTTTTTTCCCACTCAAAGGTTTCTCCCACGATGCAAGCAAGAGTTCGTATTTTTGTCGCATCCGAGTCTAAAGAGAGAAGGAAAAAAGCCCTGTCTCTGATTGTTTATCTGTATTTTTTCACCAACTCCTTCAGCTGCCCTTTTATTTAGCCACATGTAATAGCCTCATTAGGTTCATGTCAGTTTTTCTTTCCAAAGTGAATTGAAAGTTAGCTGTTTATGTAGCATAATTCTAAAAACAAAAGCCCAACTCATGAATTAGAAGCCGAAATGCTTTCAGCCGCCTCCATTCACAAACGCCCAACCATTGTGGTTCTTCAGCCGAATCATATGCATTGTTATTTTTGACTGACTATGAACACTTTAGCAACACACTTCATCTGTTGATAGTCTGATCTTGCGGAGAAAGAAAATATGTCGCCACTCAGTAGCTCTTTCACAGGCATGCCTGTAGTTCTTTCCATGATCTCACAAACTGGCTTTTTTTAATGAAAAATTCTTGTCTGTATCTACTTAACTCATGAACTATCAAACAGACAGCAGAAATGCACATCAGGACAACTATTTAGATGTAATCTCACCCTTTACGCAGACTGATTTCACGAAACGCGACCTCAGATTTACCGTGGTTCCCCTCTCTTACACCCAGCCGTTCATGCCCCTGGCAAACCTGCGCTGTTCTCCCGACGTCCACCACTTCCTGTGCCAGGCTTTCATCCCCGCGTGCACCGAGGAGAACAAGGTCATCCGTCCGTGCAGAGAGACCTGTGAGGCCGTGCTGTCCGACTGCGAGGAGGACATCAGCATCTTTGGTGTCACCTGGCCTGCTGAGTTACAGTGCGACAAGTAAGACAGCATCAGCTAAAGAAGCTAAACTACGACTCCCAATCTGTTCCTTTTCCCACGACTATCTTTATCCCTCAGGCTGGACCCATGCTCCCTCGACGGTTCTGTGCTTCTTGCGACCACCCCCGCCACCTCCTCATCGCCTAAGAGAGACCTGGGCTTCTGGTGCCCGCTGCAGCTGAAGACTAAGCCGGGCCAGGGCTCCTCGTTCCTCGGCGCTCAGGACTGCGCCCCTCCCTGCTCGAACATGTACTTCAAACCGCACGACATCGAGTTCGCCAAGAGCTTCGTGGGCGTGTGCTCCGTGGTCTGCCTGGCCGCCACCCTCTTCACCTTCCTCACCTTCCTCATCGACGTCAAGCGCTTCCGCTACCCGGAGCGGCCCATCATCTTCTACGCCGTCTGCTACAGCTTCGTGTCGCTCATGTACTTCGTGGGCTTCCTGCTGGGGAACAGCGCCGCCTGCGCCAAAGCCCACCACCCGGCGGGCATGGACACCGTGGTGCTGGGCTCCCAGAGCAAAGGCTGCACCCTGCTGTTCATGCTGCTCTACTTCTTCTCCATGGCGGGCATCGTCTGGTGGGTCATACTCACCATCACCTGGTTTCTGGCGGCGGGGCCCAAATGGAGCTGCGAGGCCATCGAGAAGAAGGCGGTAAGCTCCTTGAGAGTTACTCAGCAGAGCACAGCAACCTGATACAGATATCTGAGGCTTAGTCTCAGCCGATACCGATCTGATTTGATAGAGAAAAGCAATGCTGAACGGACTTAAAACATTTAATTTTTTGTAGACACGGACATAAATGTGCTGCATTACAAATGTACTGTAAACTCTGCTCCAGTACATCAGAGATCCAGATGTCTGTCGTGAAACGTATCGATTTGACGGTAGCTACGTCTCCGACAAATATTTTCGGCTCACCATTCCAGGTGTTAATTAGCTGTCAGAATCCCTTATCCCCAACAACTGAGAGCGGCTACACATCCATGACAATGAAGTTCAGCACCTTTCAGTGTTTTTTTGTTTGTTTTTTGTTGTTTTTTTGCCTGCATACTATTAGGTGGAACATTTTCACCTCTTTCCCTTTTCTCCTTTAAAGTTAGCTGCTTCATGCCACCTCCTCTTTGTTGATTCAGTTGAAAAAACTCTGCATTTTCTTTAAGGTAAAGATGCTTGATTAAGTTGGTTGTGTTTTAGCTTGAAATTTACTCCCACCCCGTGGAACAATCACTGTGCCCATATTGCACCTAACTGTGGAATGTCGCTGCATCTCTACGTGTAACCTGAGGAAACGGTGGCTGTGAGGGCAGACTTTTATGCTGGTGATACTATTTGTGCTCTCTGTATTCAGGTGTGGTTTCACTCGGCCGCCTGGGGGATCCCCGGGGCCCTGACTGTCACGCTGCTGGCTCTCAACAAAGTGGAAGGGGACAACATTAGCGGGGTTTGCTTTGTGGGGCTCTACGACCTGGACGCCCTGCGGTACTTCGTCCTGGCTCCGCTGTGCGTCGGCGTTATCGTGGGCCTCTTCCTCATCCTGGCAGGCATCGTCTCCCTCAACCACGTCCGGCAGGTCATCCAGCACGACGAGCGCAACCAGGAGAAGCTGAAGAAGTTCATGATCCGCATCGGCGTGTTCAGCGGCCTCTACCTGGTGCCGCTGGTTACCCTGCTAGCATGCTACACTTACGAGCAGAGCCACCGCAGCGTCTGGGAGCACACCTGGATCAATGACCGCTGTCAGGAGTACAGCATCCCCTGCTCCCACAAGGTACCGGTCAAAGCCCCAAAGAGCCAGACTCATAGAGATCGAGAAGAAACAATGGAATTAGCTAGAAATACACACATAACCACTTGATTTGTACAGGATTTAAATGGACAAACAGATTCCAAACTATGACTATGAGTAGGATTTCAAAATCCTTTTTTTTTATGTGACTTATCTGTTTTGAATTTCTAGACAAAAATTGACATATAAAGACCCCCAAATTTTTCAAATGAAATCTTGACGTTTACGACAAAAACTGAGCCTTTGACTAAATTCACCATGATAAGAGCCAGTGTTCCATTTTACAGTTCAATGTAGCTGCTTATTCAGAAACTTATAAGTAAAAAATAGCAGAACATGATGCAGGAGGTACAAGGTCCACTCGTACATTGTGTAAATGAACTCATCCCCCTGTTGAACAACAGTGCCTGATGCTTAAGCTTGAAAGTTTTTATTTTGCCTTGTGAAAGAAACTGTATTTCTTCCTTTACACCTGGATTTAATCACCATTTCAGCCCACAGAGCCAGACCGTCCCGACCTCTCTCTGTTCCTTGTGAAATACTTGATGACGCTGGTGGTGGGGATATCTGCAGTCTTCTGGGTCGGCAGCAAAAAGACCTGCTCCGAGTGGGCCTACTTCTTCAACAGGACCCGGAAAAGAGAGTGAGCCCCCATCTCCAAACCGCTCAGGTTTAGCGATCGGCTTCCGTCGCCCCTCTAACCTCCTCTAACGTCCCTCGGTCCACAGCCCCATCAGCGAGAGCCGGCGGGTGCTGCAGGAGTCCTGCGAGTTTTTCCTGAAGCACAACAGCCGCGTCCAGCACAAAAAGAAACACCACAAGCCCAGCTCCCACAAGCTCAAAGTCATCTCCAAATCTATGGGCACCAGCACGGGAGCCGGGGGCCCCGCCAGCGCCACGGGCACCAGCAACAACGAGTCCGACGCCTCGGCCAGGGAGCACCTGGACCGAGGCACGTCCAGCAGAAGCTCCAGGAGAGGGGAGAGAGAGCGGGAGAGGGAGGGGGCGGAGAGAAGGAGCAAAGGGGGGGGCTCCAGTAAGATAAGCAGCCGATCGGAGAGCATGCACCGAGTTGGAGATGGGAGGTGAGTTTTGCTAGGGTGTTGATCCAAACTGGAGGGAGGGGTTTACAGAATCCTCTTTTTTTTTTTTTTTTTGTTATTTTTCAAATAAAACCATAAACGCCGCGTCCTCTTTTAACACTTGGCAGCGAATCCCTTGCAGGCAAAGAACCACTTTAAGTCTGAAACCTGTGGATTTCTGCATTTAGTGGTGCTTTGCCAGGTTCTTCTTTTCTAGTTAGTCCGTGAATCTCTCTACTTTTTACTTTAATCTGCGACAAGCCAAATGCATGCTTGTTCAGGTTTACGTGAGTTTATGCTTGGCTAAAAAAGGTTGCATCTTTCTCATGCTCCGGCCTCTCTGCAGCTTCACAGCCGGTGTTGGTTCTCTCTCTCACCTCAGCCGCCTCTAAGCCCCGTTCCTCTAACACGATTACCAGCATAGACGTTATATTATCCACTTTTTTAAATTAACCAACTAAAAAGGAATGCGTCTAGTGTCTAAGAGAACAAATTGTAAATGTAATTAAGCCTTAGCAGACTGCTCTCTCAGGGTGGACCGCACGTCCCTGTCTCTCACAGGGATCCTGATAGGCTAATATCTGAAAGGTTCAGATGTCAGCCATAAGATTTTTTCTTTTCAGGAAAAATCTAATTCTCCCCCCCCTTTCTGGAGGCTTATGGGTGGTTTCCATTCTCTGAGAAGCTTTTTGTATTTCCATTTGTGGAGTGTTATACTGGCCTAAGATAATGATGTCTTTACCCCTTTCAGAAAGTTGTTTTTGAAGGATATCCATCCACCACTTTAGTCTTCTCTGGATATCCACCTTCTGAAAACAGAGCATTTTAGACCCATATACAGCAGAAATCTGAAACATAATCATGGGAAAGGGTCCATTGGACAAGAATGTCCTGGTATCCAAACAGTAAAAGACGTGCGTGCATGTTTTTTCTTAATTCGCGTCGTAGCTCTGTTTAGCCGAATCCTTTGTCTAACTTTCTGGACCACTCTGCCTCATCCCTCTGTCATGTGTCCCGGTTCAGGGGGACCCCGAAGAGCGAGCTGTCGGACAGCCGGCAGGTCAGCGGTGGCCAGCAGCAGCAGCCTGCGGCTGTAATCCCCACCCAGAGCAGCAGTGTCCACGGCTCCACCCAACAGGTGGTGCCCCCGGTGCCCGAGGAGAGCACGGACCCAAAGGACGTCTAAGCCGCCATCCATCCTCCACACACCCTATCAGAGCTGACTATGCTGATTTAGACGTCGGTTGTCTGGGGCGATAGCTATTTTTTCTCAATTTAGTCTCCGTGCTGTGGAGTTTCCCCACCATACAGCTACCAATGCTCATTTCATGACTTAGTACGCTTTATTGCCTTAGGCCTGCTGTATAGTGCTTGCAAATACATGCAAGACTTCTGCAAATGTTTTTTTTTTCCCCAGAATGTATACCTTCCACTGAACTAGTCACTACACTGAGAGATGTCTTACAAAGGTCAAGAAATTGCCAAATGCCAAGTGTTTCTGTGGTCAAACTGTTTTTCAATGTCTTATTCTACTTTCCACGTAGATAGTTTTTCCTCAGTTCTCATGTTATAATCCTCATTATGAGCCTTTTTTAGCTCTTATAAAGAAAAACATGCTATTACACTGGACTTTGATGATGTTAGTGTCAAATCTACACATTTCTTTCAAAAGCTCATCTCAACCTGTTTTTATGTTTTTTTATTTTGTGGCTTCTGCTGTTGAAATACTTTTTTAAATTTCCATATTCACTGAATCCAGGGAGAGCTTTGTAGTTTTATATGACATTGTTCCTTTATTTCAAAGATATTTGAAGAAAAAAAAGAGATATTTACCATGTTTTTAAAGTCAAATGCTTAATCCAACCAGGGGGGAAAGTATAAATCAAACAGGCTTTGCACTGGGTCAATCCATATATACATTTATATATATATGAGTCTCAGTCCACATCTCAGTTACTTCCAGAATGACTCCTGTGATTTTTTTAAAGGTTTGTTATTGATAATGTTTTTGTAATGACGTCCTGCTGTAATGTCTGCCATGCTGCAAAAGGGACCGATCCTTGCCTTAAATGTATTTACACTTTATATGTGGGAGCCTCAGGAGGATCCCAGTGACACAATGGAAAAAGGGAATACCAGTCATTGTATGTTTTTATGTCATATTTCTGTCACACGTTTGTGGTGTTTAGTCTTAAGTTTCTGCTGCTTTTAGAGATCTTTTTTACTGTTTTGACTTCTTAATTTCCTTTTGTACAACCCATGTTACACTTTGATGACGTTTTGAATAAAAACGAAATAAATAATGTCCGTTATTTGGTTGGACTTTGACGCACTGTGGTTCAGTTTGGGTGGAACGCCTCCAATCGGCACACAAGTGGACACAGTGTGCCCGCACACACACACACCTCTCACGGGGACGTCTCTCTCTCTGGAACACCACTGGCTCCTTCCCTCTGGTCCTGCCCTCGCCTGGACTGGGATCTGGACTGGGATCGCGCACTCTGGTGGATCCTCTCTGACGGGATGTCTCCTCTCGCTGCGCGCCTGCTGGTCGTTTTCTGCCTGGCTCTGCCTCTGTACGGCGTGGAAAAGGTGAGAAATAGAGGGTACCGAAAGGATCCTGACGCTGACAAGGTAAGAGGAGCATTTTTTTTTAGATCCATACCCCGGAGATGTTAACGATTCCTTCCCAAAAGCAGACGCAGCGAGACTGTGCAGCTTTTCACCGCTTGAAGCAACGACAAATGTTTTTTTAAAGGACAACATTATGAACTTAGTGGTTAAGCTCTTTTATATTTGAATGCATTTTATATAACTTCAATGTGGCCCCCCATTGTTTCTTCCTTTCGTTAATCAATACACATTTTCTAAAATGAGACATTATATCGAAGATATATAGTGTAATGATACAGTCATAACTTTGATAACTCTGCAAAATTGTATACAAATTTATCAAATTTTTTCATCAGTGGAAAAAAATGATAATTTAAGTTTTTTTTTTTATGACGTGTGTGTCAGCTGGTGCTCTTATATTCCAGGTCTGGCAGCTGTCCAGCAGACTGAATGGACACTGGGGGGGGAAAAAATGAAAAAAAAAATCCCAAACAGGAAGTTAGGGTCTGGCTCATAATGTCTGCCAGTCTTTGTTCTCTGAGACTGTTTTTCCACTTAAGAAAAAAAACTTCGTGGGACTTTGTGGTTTTAAATTCTATTATGAGGCTTTTAGATATGGTAACATAGATATAATATAGATACTATAACAACAACAACGCTGGAAAACACACCTGGTGCAGCAAACAGTTGTTGACTTGACCAATTATCAACGCTGTCTGTTGGACCAGCTTATATTTACACTAAATCACTGAACACACTTTAAAAACCTGGGACATGAACGTTTCTTTCATTATTCCGTTGGGATTTAAAAGTTGTGTTTATTTTTTCAGGGGGTTGGGGGCCCTTACCTCCCTTCGGGGAGTCCCACTATAGTCTGACTATTCCTCACTTTTAAACCCTTCACTATTCCACATCTCTAACTATGTGAAAGCGTGTAATAAACAGCTTATTCTGTTATCATCTGCATCTAGTGCACTGGAAATGATGCAGAAAAGCCCAACTGCACTAGACACTCCGATGAGGGAAGATCTCCTTATTTGAACAGCATGGTAATAACACCCTACCGATTTCTTTTAAAATGAGGCAACTATAACAACTGAGCTTTACTGTAGCTCCACCATTTGCATGATCCAGGAAAGCTTCGGGGCTTGCTTGGGGGGTTTGACTGGTGCATGAAATGCCACTGATTCCTAAGCACTGTGGGGCAAATGCAGCCTCTGTGCCTCCAGTTACAGTAATGGACTGTGTCCCACCAATAGTCAGTGTGACTGGGGAGCAATTCATGCAGGCAGTCGGCACCACTATAGAGGGAGCATACTGGACGTTAATATAAAAGTCAGCTATGTGGTTAAGTAACAGAGGTTCCATTCATTAGTCATCTTTGAAAGCTCTCCAAACGCTCAGCTTTTTGAAAAAAAAAAACACCGTTTTCCTTGGCTGTAGTAATGCAAAGCCTCAAGTCCTGTTGCAGGGATTGCATCCTTTCCACATTTTTCCCCGTTTAAGCAAAGTGATCCAAAGTCTCGTCTTTCCTGTAAGCGATTTCCAGTTCTATTTCCGACCCATACCAGCCTCCAATCCCCTCGTTTCATCACAGACTTCCCAGTTTCCTTTTGAGATGACGCAAGGTCTGTCATCTTCAGGTTACTTCAATGGTAGCTGTTTAATAGCTAAAACAGACCCCTCAGCCATCTGTTTCTCAGCAGCTGACTGAGAATACTGTAGTTCCTGGCTTTGAGGTGTGTTGTTTTTTAAGATTCAGCTGATCTGGGAACAAAGTCAGCAGGACAAGATGTTGAAACTGAAGAAAAAGTTCTTTGTTCTCCCCCCCAACACCACCACCACCTCGCTTTTGAACTCATTTGCCTTATTGCCATTTGGCCGTGTACCTTTCATAACTTCTCGCAGCTGCACGCTGAGCAGAAAGGCGGCAGCAGCCCAACAAAAACGCCCACCCGGCTGCTTCTGCCATTCGTTTTGGTGTGAGGAATGCCTCCATACGTGTCACTTTATGTCTGTCCTGGCTTTTGGGAATGAGATACAAATCACCTAACCAAAATGGAAACCCATCTGCAACTGAAAGCTTCCTGACAGCTGTCCTGCACTGCAATCTGTTGGTCTTCTGAGGACTGTGTTAAACACAGACCTATTTGGATCCTCTTTGTGTGTTTCTCTGTTTGTTGTAGCTTTTTTGGCCAACTTCCCCCGTCTCTTCGTGTCTGAGTCAGCTTGAGTCGGATGCGGCGTCTGTTTAAAAACGAGGCAAAAGATTCAACAGGATAATGAATCACACTGAGAGAAATGTGGCCAGACGGCTATACTAATTTAAGCCACCTTTGAGGTTAAAGTTGGACTATGAACAGACTGATGTCGTTCATTGGCTTCGTGTTTGTTGATTAAATTGCAAAAAGCCTTGCTTTGGATAACATCTGTTTGCAACACTTGTTTTAGCCCAGATTTGTGTACGAAACTGAGATCTAATCATTGTTATTATGTGTGATGGGTAGATGGCGGCATTGGCAGCGTTCTGTGTGCCTTTTTTCTGTTCTCACCACTCTGTCCCTGTCTGTGTCTCTCAGTATGGCAGCTGCATTCAGGGTCCGGCAGGCACCCCTGGCAGAGAAGGTAACCCCGGAGCTAACGGCATTCCAGGCACACCTGGTATTCCGGGCCGGGATGGACTCAAAGGTGAGAAAGGAGAATGCATCAGCGAGATTTTCGACGAGCCCTGGAGGCCCAACTACAAGCAATGTGCCTGGAGCTCGCTAAATTACGGGATCGACCTCGGCAAAGTAGCTGTAAGTATCTTCTAGCGTCTCTAAAGGTTGCAGGCACGTGTTCCGTGGATACATGGCTGTTCCCTGCTGTGCCACAGGACTGCACCTTCACCAAGCGGCGCTCGGACAGCGACCTCAGGGTCCTCTTCAGCGGCTCGCTCCGCCTCAAATGCAAGAACGCCTGCTGCCAGAGGTGGTACTTCACCTTTAACGGGGCCGAGTGCACCGGACCCCTGCCCGTGGAGTCCATAATCTACTTAGACCAGGGGAGTCCTGAGCTCAACTCAACCATCAACATCCACAGAACATCCTCAGGTAATATTATTATTTACATTTTTTTTTTTGGTGCAATCATAACTCTGAGCCTTCAAGATGAAGTAATCTGGTAATCTGCATTCATAGATTAGAAAATGAGTTATTTTGAAATGCATTCTACAATATTATCGGGTCATCATTTAGGTTACAACTATGAACCGTCTAAATTGAATGAAACTCTCATTTCTCTATTGGAACACACAAAATGAATTAAATTACTTTTGAAATCTCAATGAACAGCATGTAGTATTTCAATTTTTAAATACGAGGTTAAAAATCATAAGTTGTGGTTAACTAGGGGTAATCGTAATCATATGTGTTTGCTAAAAGCTCTAACTTGATGTTAGATTGACTCTGACTGTAGAAAAGTATTCAGATTTTGTTTTGTTAATTTTTATTGAAATAAAAGCTAAGGTAAGCTATCTGTTGACTTCTGCCTGAGATGTAGCACAAACATCTGGGTTTAGTCAGTTCTTTCACCCATAAGAAATATGTGAAGAGTGGAACTATTGAGGAGAGAGAAGCTTGTTCAGCGACACCCTCCCTCTTAACTTTAGACATCACCGCAGTGTCGGGAAACAAAAGACTTAACAGTTTCCATCACCGCATTCAGTTGGGCTGTTCCAGAAATTCATTAGCTCCGTCTTTCTTTTTTTCTCTCTCCTCTACTCTGCAGTGGAAGGGCTGTGCGAAGGCGTCAAAGCTGGGCTGGTGGATGTGGCGGTGTGGGTCGGGACCTGTGCAGACTATCCCAGGGGTGACGCATCTACAGGCTGGAACTCTGTATCCAGGATCATCATTGAGGAGCTGCCTAAATAAGACACAAAGTTTTATAAAAAGGGAGGATCCCGTCTCTGTAGTGCTAAGAGTATGTTATCTTGCCCTCCAAAATGATCAGGTTTGATTTCCCTGGGGCGCCACAGCATCACTGACTGTAACTTGAATGTTTTTGTTTGTTCAAATACTACACTAGTTGACAGGCCTGAAAACAGAGAAAACACTGTTGTGCCGTCCACTAGAGTTAAACTTTGTACTGTATCTTTGTCTGTGTGAGTGCAAACAGAATTCATTCCCTGATGGATCCATGTCTGAACTGCGTACTCTGTGATGTTTCAGTGCATAATTACTATCAATAAAAATCATTTTTAAAGAAACAATATCATTCTTTTTCATTCCATTGAGTGTTTGTGAGGTGGCTGAAAGCTTGAAATAACACACTTCAGTCAAAATATGTTAAAATAAACACATTTTATGTGTTGACATGTATCAAGCAGATAAAGCACAATTTGCGATTTAAAACAAAATGTGTTATGTTACAAATTGTTTTGAGAAACTAAATTTTAATTGAAAGAGGAGCGTGTTGTCTGAACAAAAAAAATAAAACTGCATCTCTGTTGCTGTTCACACATGGTTAGTTTAAAAGAGACACCGTTTCACACACACATGCAACCCGTAACCTGAGATTGTGTTGCCGATAATCGCGCTTTAAATATTTCTGACAGTTTTGCCTTTCTGCAGCCAGAAAACAATGTAAACATCACTAGTGTGCCATGAAACGCTCACTTCATCTTCATAATCTGAATTATGCCCCCCGACAGTAAGTGGCATTTATAATCCGATGACACGAAAATGGGAAAAAAAAAAAAAAAAAAAAAGACATCATCACAGCAGTATCGTCTTTAAAAAAAAAACCCGGTGAACAGCAGCCTGACTTCACTGTGCGTGTGAATTAAAGACATGTCACGGTCCAGGGGATACCCCCCCATCTAACCTTGAAGAAGGGGGAAAAACTGACCACGGGCTGGCTCTCTCGCTTTGTTTGGCAACTTTTCCCCATTCGTTAGCGCGCTAACACTCCTTGCCTCGACACAGTTCAACCACTTGACTCGTCGCGGTCCGGCCTCGTTCTGATGCCTCCGCCCCCCCCCACTCCTCACCGGCGTGTCTGCGTGAGTTCACAGTCTGTGCCGCTCATGTCATGCTTTATCTTTCAGTTCATTAGGTCCCGAGCAGGAAGCGGGACACGTTCTCGTACACCACGAAGGTGATGCAGCAGGCCGGGGTGACGCGGATCAGGTTGGGGATGATGCCCTTGTAGAAGCCGATGGCGCCTTCGTTCCTGCAGTGAAAAAACCCAAAACTATAATAAGCGTCTGGTAAAGGTGGAAACAGCTGCTGCGCTTGGCCTCTTTCTACCTCCAGGTCCGTCTGATGACATCCATAACGCCGCTGTAGCGGTTGTGCTGGTCCTGCAGGCGGGCGCGCACCACTTGGTACGGATACGTTGTGGCCACAGCAAGTAACTTAGACAACGCTGCCATTGCGATATATTCCAGCGCGGTCTGTTAACACGGACAGACGAACAGAGGGAAATAGGGGTGATGAGAGCAATCCAAAAAAACTTTTATGAGCCACGGCGTGGGCTTTCACCGCTCATGTGGCTTATGGTTAGTGACTCACCAACTTTGCATCCGAGGGCACTTTCTTGTATTTGTTGTAATCTCTCTTGAGCTCCTCATAGGCCATGAACTGCAGCGCCCCATGGGACGTACCAAACAGGCCAGGCACGTATCCCTTTGGAATAGACACGATGTGAGAGAGACACATGTGAAATACATCAGCATTAAAAATACATAATGCGAAAAAAGGAAAAAAAACTGAGCTGTATACTTTATCTATGGCTCCCAACCTGTTTAAGCAGCTTTAATTGCTTGTTGGCTGAGGGATCTGGTACAACATATTTTTAAAGGGCAATAGCACCTCTTAAAAACAGTACTTATAAAAGTGTAGTTTCCAAAGCTAATAAAGACTGGGGTGCCCTCTAGGGGCGATTGTTGGCCTGTGTAGATAGCAGCAAAGGCAAGGACAGCACTTCATTCCTAGGAGTAAAAAGTTATAACACAACCTCTGAAAAGGGCCTGTTTGTTGCCATTATTATCACTAAGCTTCATGCATTGCTGCACTATATGGAGTTTCCAATCATGGCCCGATGTCTCACTCTGTATAGCCCTGGGACTCCTTCGTTTCGGTAGATCTTCAGTAAAGCGTCCACCATTCCTTTGTACTGCTTGCCGGTTGGGTCGGCACTGTACTGCAGAACCAGCCGGGTTTTGGTGACCCAGATCGGATTGGTTATGGTCAGCGTTAGGATGCCTATGGAAGAAAACAGGACATTCTTACAATAGGGCCTTGAAAGTAGCACAATTACTCTCAGAATGTTTTTTTCTTTGTCATTACTATTCAACCCAGTAAACTGTCATTTATTTTAAAAAAAAGTCAGTGACCCACATGTCAATTGTCAAGATTTCTTTTAAATAAATATGAAATAATAAACTAACCAGCCTAGCATTACAATTTTAGTTCAAAACAACCTAAACCCCGGCATTACCACCCAAAAGCTAGCTTCTAATTAGAATATGAAATCGTTCAAAATCGCACTGTGTGTGGCAAATTTAATCAAGCCAAGCCCCTTCCACGCAGGACAGGAATGAACAACAAAACAGTGTAGTATTTGCATCTGCCTCTGGTCAGTTATGACCAGCACGGAGCAGAATGATCCAGCTCCTGTCACACTCTGGGAGCTGGTACAGATGTGCTATCTGAAAGGCCCGTTCACACAACTGTATCGCTGACCTGCTTCAGCCGCAGACACCAGGTGCTCTGCAGCGCTCAGTTCACTCTCCCGACCTTCCTTTGCGTACCCTTTGATTGCGTTGTAGCTGTAACGAAAAGTAACACAACCAGTCAAACACCCCACAGAAGATCTCAAAGGCCACTGTTGATAGTTAAGCCAACCCAAAGGTTTTGAAAATGAAAGAAAGCTTAAGAAGGTTTCAGTGTACGTACAAGAAGAAGTAGAGACCCCAAGATGCGCCAGCCCCCCAAAGATTAGGGGTTACTCCTTGGTAAAGACCTCTCATGCCTTCCTGGTGCCAAACACTCCTCATACAGTGAAATATGCCACTGTACTTAGGTCTCAACTCCAGTCCATCACTCACTACATACATAAAAAAAAGACAATTAAAATGCAGTTATGGCAGCAGAATGTCAACAAATAAATTCAATAAGCTCAAAATCACAGATCTGTTATCAAGAAAATAAACATTTCAATTTGGAGCTCTGGATATTCGTTTATCCGGAAGAGAGACACAAAATAGTGCACGTTTCACGAGAATTACAAGGTGTATTTTTGCCTATAACCATGACTGTCAGGTACCCTTATTTGGAAGGTATTTTTCATAACCTACCAGCAAACCTGATCTTCACGAGGTCCAGTGGGTGAAGAACCAAAGTGGACACTACTCCTCCACTGAGTCCCGCTATCAGGTTTTCTACTTTCACATGGCTGAAGACCTGCCGGGCGCGTCCGGCTAAAGGCACGGTGGAGGGAGGAGTGCTGGGCAGCTCTTTTTCCGTCACGTTTACATCATTCGGAGCGGAGGTCATGATAAAGAAAGTTAGCTAGCTTTTTTTGGCAGCTAACTGTATTTACAGCGCGAGGCGCACCGTATGGTAGCACGCAACTAACGTCGGACTTGCTCTATAAAACCGAGACGGCTGGTCGACACCGCTGCAAATTTCAAACACAGCACGCAGACGGCTAAGACCTAACATGTTTTAGGTTTGTTAGCAACCGAGCCACGTTTTTGACATGCGGTGGTGTTCCATTGCTTTGGTGTCGCTTTTCAAATGTCACACTGCAGTCCTACTGCTCGACCTTGCTATTAGTATTAAGTAAACCCCTGATTGGTATGACATATTCTACTTCCGGTTTTTGCTTTCAAGATACAACACACCACATAATTCAAACTGAGTCTTTGAAATAAACCAAATAACACAGATTAAAGTTGAAGACACCATTTGATAAAAAACTAAATTATTTCAAATCCTGTGCCTTCAATTGTCTTTTTTGCAGTTATAGCAGGCATACGTATTTTTTATAATTTCTAACAAACTTACTTTAATGGGATTATTTAAAAGAAATATTCATTTCAGAAACAGGGTATTTATCATTCATTCATTTACTTTACCGTTTATTTCCCAATCTAGTCGCAGGGAGATTTATCATAGTTTTTAGAAAAACAAAAAAAGTGTAATTTTTGCAAAAGTAAAATATGAAAAGTGTGCATGAAATGCCAGTTAAAAATGAGTAACAATACTCTTAATGCCCGTGTATTGTTTTGCTCTTTATCAGCTGAAAGTTTTCTTCTTCCATCTAGAGTTTGTAACTTGATAGAGCTAATTCCGGTGACGCAAATAGGAGGACTGACCATCCCACAATGCAACGCGGCGCACACCTCTTCTTCATCAACACATGGCTGGATTTTTCAGTTCCTGCTAATATTTTTCATACGGAACTTAAACTATTTGAGCTTTTTGGCCTGTTTTACCTTTACTAATGAAAGTCAAAGTCCTTTCTCGAAATCCCGACGATTATGTTCGGGAGACGAAACATGATATTCAGCGTGGTAAGTATAATTCTAGAATGTTTTACTCGCTGAGCACAGTCTGTTAGCATTTTTTTCCTGTAAACATTAGCCGTTTGTCCCGTGTGACACTCATATTTACGTAATAAAAATATTATCCGTGAAGAAAATTGTGAATTTAGCACATTCTTAGCTGACATGGCATATATAGCTTATTACAAAGACATGTGACAGAATTGATAACGTGTCCTGTTTGTTAGGATGTCTTGTCTGTACAAATACTTTTTACCCATTCTGCTTAAAAATGAAGAAATTTAGTTTTCTTTTCAACTATATTTATAAATACATGCACTAAAATGACACTTTCTTAATATGCATCAAGGATTAATACATCTAATGATGACGAGTAGACTTTAGTATGCGTTAGTTTCACCTTGTACGTCTGACTCTTCTTATTTCTGAAGTCTATATTCCAAATATGCTCCATTCATGCCCTGGTTTCTGTCTTTGTTGCTAGTCCCTAGAAACTATGACCCCTCCCTTCATCCGTTTGAGGTGAACAGGGAGTACACAAGAGCCCTGAATGCCACAAAGTTAGAGCGGGTGTTTGCTAAGCCCTTTCTGGCTTCTCTGGATGGTCATAGAGATGGGGTGAACTGTCTTGCCAAGCACACCGGGAGTCTGTCCACCCTGCTGTCTGGCTCCTGTGATGGCGAGGTAATCTATCCCTTTACTGTTTTCTACCCTCCAGCGTCCTTTGATAAGTCAAATGATAGGAATATGTATTGTTAGTTACCTGCAGTTTTGTCTTTCCCTCTTTAATTTTTTGTTTGTTTCTAATTATTAGGTGAAAGTTTGGAATCTCACCAGACGAGAATCTGTCCGCACTCTCCAAGCCCACGAAGGGTTTGTGCGGGGAATGATTGTCAGACACTGTGGCACTTCTTTTTTTACGGTAAATAATCCCATTCCATGTAAATTTTAAATTAACTGCCCGGCAACTTCTTGAAATTTTGTCTCGTTCACCCTAACAGGTTGGTGACGATAAAACAATAAAGCAGTGGAAAATGGAAGCACCAGGTTATGGAGAAGAAGAGGAGCCACTTAACACCATCCTGGGCAAGGTATAAATTGGTTATTAAGGAAAAAATACAGTACATCAATTAGTAGTCACACTATACTCATGTTCTAAAGGAAATGTCCTCTACAGACTGTTTTCACAGGACTGGACCATCACCAAAAAAAGGGTGTGTTTGCAACATGTGGCCAGCAGGTGGACATCTGGGATGAGCAGAGGAGCACCCCGATCCGCTCCTTCACATGGGGCGTAGACAGCTTTAGCTCTGTCCGCTTCAACCCAGTGGAAGTAAGACGCCGCCCAAACAGTATCCACCAAGCTCCTCACATCTTATCAATGTTTACACTGATTAAATGTTTATTCAAGGAATGTTTAATGCACCCCGTCGATGCCTTTTAAGTGAGCCCTTTCTGTCTCCTCAGACGGAACTTCTCGGAAGCTGTGCCTCTGACAGAAGTATAGTTCTATATGACATGAGAGAGTCAGCCCCTCTTAAAAAGGTGTGCTTCACCTTACAGTTTATGCATAAATATATAGATTTTCTGTTCTTTTTCTTTTCTTCATTTGAAAATGATGATCAATGACTTGTATTTCCTCTTCAGGTTATTATGACAATGAGGAGCAACACATTATGCTGGAATCCCATGGAAGCTTATTACTTTACATGTGCAAATGAAGACTATAAGTAAGTTTAAGATTGAGATATCAGATTCAGTCATCAGACTAATCAGATGTCGTCATATTGTATACCCTCTCAGGGAAATACATGATGAAATAAATAAATCCTTTCTGAAAAGTAACCCAGCCAAGTTACCTTTGGTTGTTTTTGTTTGTTTATTCAATGATATAACTAGCTCTATTAAGAAACCGGTTCACGACGAGATTAATGTATCTTTTTGTTTATTTCTCCAGTTTGTACACATATGACATGAGGTACCTTGAGAGGCCCATCCTCGTACACATGGACCACGTCTCGGCAGTATTGGATGTCGACTACTCTCCCACTGGGCTGGAGTTTGTGTCTGCCAGTTTTGACAAGACCATTCGCATCTTCCCCAAAGATGTTGGACACAGCAGGTCAGTCGCCGTTTTCGAGTTAAACTTGTACGACGGTATGAGCATCAGCGTTTGCCCCGTAATAGCTGGGATAGGCTCCAGCCACCCCCGGCAACCCTACGCTGAATTAAGGTTTGATTATATTACAGCAACAGCTTAGTTGTTGTTGAGAAAAACCTGATGTTTATTTGAACTTGGTCATCAGTGCCAAGAACAATAACTATAACCATAACAGTAAATGGATGGTTATAAATATTCAGTTCAGTTTGCTGGCAGAGTCCTCACAGTAAACAGTTTTTTATTGTCTGGACCGCTTCAGAACAAAGTAGTTGAATGATTTTAAAATAAATTGTCAAATCTCCCCCTCTGTTCTTCACAATATACTTTTATTATTATTCCTCATATTTCCTAGCCGTGCCAAATTAAATCCACAAATATCTTTGTATTCTTTCGCTAAGTGGGCCTGAGTAAACTCCATTGATGTAAAATGTCTTCCAGCACATCTGGACTTTTTGTTTGTTTGTTTTTTTTCCATTTCAATTCAGGGAGGTGTACCACACTAAACGCATGCAGCACGTCATCTGTGTGAAGTGGTCAGCAGACAACAAGTACATCCTGAGCGGCTCGGATGAAATGAATATCCGTCTGTGGAAAGCCAAAGCAGCAGAGAAACTGGGAGTGGTGAGTCCTCCAGTCAGTTTTTTTTCCCCCCCTGATTTCTTTTTTCCAGCTCTCATACTGTTGTGCTACAGGCAGCTGGCTGCTTGTAGCCAGCCCTCATCATAATGCCTACATAGTGGTCTGTGACAGCGTGCCTCTCAGGTATTTTCCTCTGTTTTATTACCTAATCGCTTATTATGAGTGGGTTGCATTTTCTCCAGCACATCTTTGGCTCTGAGCCCACTTTAGCAGTTTAACGGTGGGGTAACTCTGCCAGGAGCCAGTGTTGCCAAATGCTCTCATGGATGCTGACTTAAGATAGAATCACTTTCAATAAGTACAATGTATCAATTGGCAGGTCTTAAAGACCCAAAACCCGTCCTGCAGTGGTTCGACAAATCACCCCCCTCCAAAAAAAGCATCTGTTTTCTCTTTGATATCCTCAGTGAGTTCCACCGGTGATTTGATTAGAAACACACAGCAGCAGAGGTCGTGACATTGCTTCATAATGTCACATAAATCTCTTTATGAAACCCTGGGAAGTGCTCCAGAGCCTCGAACGGCAGTTATGGCTGAATCATAAAGTTCAGTGGCATCTTTTGTGCCATCTCCAGCAGCCACCTCTCACTCCTAATCGGATTCACTCTCACTTATTCTCCTAATGCAGCTCCGGAGTGGAAATGGCCCGCTTTTGGCACTCGTTTGACTGTCACTGTGTGAGAAAAGATTTATTCGCAAGCGTTGCACTTAAAGAGATCAGACAGGGGCTGCTCCTATCAGCATTTTAAATCGGCCAATCTCTTAAACGGAGGCCACTCTGAACATAATGAAGCATTAACAATCACGCTGTACCGAGAAGGTCTTTAATTATCAAGAAACGCTGAATCAAGGCTTTGTCTGTGCCTGAAGGCTCCATGCTGGACTGATGGGGACTCCTCTGTCAACTACTTTATTCATTTTTAAACAAGGCTTCCTTAACAGCCGCTTATAAATCCAGTTTATGTTTGAACTTCTTGGTAATTTACTCTAAGACTCGTTTTCAGTTGGCCTTCCGAAAGAATCAGATTACAGCTTTGCTCACCTATTTAATAAAGTCGCAAGGAGAATTTTTAATTTTATTTAAAAAATTTTTTTTTACTCATGGATTCATCCATTTAACTCATTCGCTGCCAAAGACGTCTATAGACGTCTTTTCAAATCCAACCGCTGACTGCCAAAGACGTCTATAGACGTCTTTTATGTTTTTCAATGCGAGTGGCTTGGGGGACGATCGGCGAAAGTTTTTCCGTAAATATGGGCTTCTAGACAGAGTATGGACTAACAAATTGACCCTATAGGTAGCTGTGCCACTTTTGATGGGAGATTAGCATAGATTGTAAGCAAATAAAAACAAACGCAATGGTTCGCTATGGGAGAAATGGCGCCGGTGAGACGCACGTCGAAGAAGAACGGAATAAGGTAGAAACAAAATCTTTTTTCCTGATGAAAGAAGAGAGTCTACTCTTTCTTTTGGTGTGTTCGGTGTTAACATAGTCATAGCAAAAACTATTCTGTGGCTCTTGAAAAATCAGTCAAAATTCTCAAAAAACTCTGGCAGTGAGCGACTCTCTGTTCTGAAAATGGCTGGCAGTCAATGAGTTAAGTTGAACTTCAGTTTAATTTATTTATTTACTTTTTATGCATTTACTTTTGATACTTTTTATCAATCAATTACTACTTTATCCATCAATTTATTTATTTAATTAAATACCCACCAGTGTCTGTGTTGTCTGATTATGAATTACATAATCATCCGGTGCTTAAAGTTTTTGTGTTTTTAGTTTTTATTTTTTTGTCGTTTTTTAAATATTTTTTGCAGAACATTTTGCACACTTTCCTTAGTGGCAGATGTGATTGTATCATAAATGAGAGAAACGCTGATGTGTAATGCTTTTCTGAGGTTTAATTCATTTTTCTGTTACTGGCTTTGTTTGGAGCAAAAGATTGAAATGGACTGATCATAAAAACGGTTGGTCATGCACCTCAAAGCCAAAACGATCAAGCCATTTAATCTTCCAATTGAGGCCTAAAGGATGTAAGCTGTCTTGCTTTACTTGCATAAAGCAAGTGCCCACAGGTTGGCAGGTGATTCTGATCGGAGAAAGGTAATTTAGAAGGTTTTAAACGTTCTACAAAAAGGAACGGAATGAAAACCACTGTTTATGGCCATTATCTGACATGTGTGATGTTTTATCAATAGCTCTTCTCAATAGTGGTATGCTGTGTTGATATTATGTAAGCAGTGTTTAGGAGTCTGGCTGTCTGTGTGTGTGTGTGTGTGTGTGTGTGTGTGTGAGTGTGTGTGTGTGTGGTGTAACTTTCCAGGAGAGGTAGTATAGTACAACAGGCTCAGCATCTAGCAACTCTTCCCCAACAAATTGAATCTGAGAGAAATCGTTGCTTTCAATTAGAATAAGAGCTCACCAGGAGAGCGGCTCCAGCCAAGGCCAGCCGGGCCAGAAGGTGGACTTTACGAGCGGGACTGCGAAGGGGTGGGGCCAATCAGGGGTGGGGGGGGAGTGTTGTCGAGCTAAAGTCTTCACTTTTAACAGACATTGATTTCTTTTTGAACGAGCACGTTACTGCTTACTGTAGCGTTGGACGTTTTATGATGGAAGGCCGCGTACCAGAGTAATCATCAATTAACCAAATACCACCCTCAGGCCAACAGATTTTCAGAGTCGAGAGGCCACGTTTAAAGAACAAAAAAAAGGCCAGTGTGGGCCGTTTTTAGGACTTCAGCGCCTGGAAACACAGCAACACCCTAGATCAGGAACTCTTCGGTTGCTCTGGCAACCAAAGCAGCAACAAACAAGCCATCCTCTCTGGTGGGGGTCGTCGTCCCCGCCAGAGAAATAACCGTGTCCACTCACGTGACCTGTATGAACTCAGATGAGTCCACATTCAGACCGGAGGCTGGATGTTGTGACAGACTTGCCACTCTTTTTCTAAACGGCTGGTAAGAAATCACTGCCTGGGTATCCAAAGGTGGGACTTCAGTCACCCATTCCACTTTACCTCTAAGCACCTAAAGATGCTTTGTCATCTTCAGTTCTCATCTGTATCAGAATCTTTTGCCAGAGTAAACAAAACATTTTTTTTTAAATGGAAACGTCATTTTTGGCTTAACTGAATTAAAAAAAAAAAAAGCAAAAAACAATTTCATTGCTGTCATCCTCTAACATATCTTCCTCCTGGTGTGTCGAAGCTTGCCCACAGAGAGAGGGAGGCCATCAACTACAACCAGAAGCTGAAGGAGAAATACCAGCACCACCCACAAATCAGGCGCATAGCTCGCCACCGACATCTGCCCAAGAGCATCTACCACCAGAGCAAAGAGCTGAGGGTCATGAAGGAAGCTCGCCGCAGAAAGTGCGTTCTATCTATCTATCTATCTATCTATCTATCTATCTATCTATCTATCTATACATCTATCTATACATCTATCTATACATCTATCTATCCAACTATACATGTATCTATCCATCTATACATCTATCTGTGTGATCAAGGCAAAGCCAGTACCTTTTTTTTTTTTTTTTAATTAGTGCCAGGAAAGATTTGACCTTTGACCTAAGTGTCCACACCATCCTGATGGAAACAGTCTCAGATAGGACTGCTATGACGTGCTCTCAGTCGGCATCACATACTCGTTTACAGCTTTGTTTGTTGAATCGATTGTCCCAGTTTTTCCCCAGTGAATCATCCTCTGTCTGTGGCTCTTCTTTCCCACTAAGCAACAACATCCACAATATGTCAGGCATTCACCGCTTTTTTTTCTTCTTCTTCTTCTTTCCCCTCTTTTTGTTTTTCAGGGAGACGAACATCCGCAAGCACAGCAAACCGGGAAGCGTGCCCGTGGTGTCTGAGAAGGAAAAGCACGTCGTCACCGTGGTGACATAGACCAGCTGGAGGGAAGGATTAGTGGACCTGGAGATTGCTGATGAAGTGATGGAGGTGGAGACAAAGATCACACCCACATGGGGAACTGTTCAGGCCGACTCAGTCCTAAAAGTTTGGGAAAGGACAAGAGAGCAGTCCTGTTTAATTATAACTACAAGCCCTGCATCTGTAAATCCATTCAGACGAACAACTACTGACACTTACATTTGAGCATCAGTGGGGCTTTTTTTTTTCTTTTTTCTTTTCAGCTTAGAAAATAAAGTTTCTTTTGATCCAATCAGAAAAACGGAACATTCATTGTGTGGGTATTTAACAGCATCTCTTCAAGTGGTCGATCAATTTTTATTCCATGAATGAAGCTCAAAGAAATCTTGAACTCTGGAGGAAAAGTCACAGTGTTGCATGAGAGACGGCTTTTGAAAAGTGATGCTAGTGGGTTTGCATTGAGGTCAGGGTCTGAGATCCTTTTAGGATGGGCTTTATGAGCATCGTTGGAGAATTACTCGACCTATGACATATCCATTTTTTTCCTTCTCATTTCTGTACAATCTCATGTCATATGAACGTGGTGAATTTCTAATAAACCTTTTAAAGATGTTTAGATTTTGCTGTGAAAACGCATCAGTCAAATTTAAAACACAACAAGCTCCTCTTGGCCTTTGGCCTTTCGCATATCTCCAAACTGGTGCTAATTTACAGAGAACCAATATGGAAGAGGCTCTATCTATTGCCATCTGTTATACTACCCACAAGGCACCCTGGGAGCCAGGGCTTTCTTTTCTATAGCAATAACACATCAAGAGATGGGATGTTTGGTCACTTTTCACTGCCATTAAGATCACAATATTGTCATATAAAAAATATTCCATTTGATTTTACAGAAGAAAATATCAATGTTTGTATTTTTGTATCTTAAAAGTAGTGTCAAGCTCCCTGTTTTCCAGGAGAGGTGACCAACACAGCTGACTCCCAATTGTATAATTTAGTTTTCTCTTTATTTATTTATTTTCTTTAAAACCATGTACCAAAACAAAACAACCTGAGGTGAGGCAGGCAGCAGGGGGGCTTCTGCGCGTGCGCAGAGCGCATGTGGGAGCACCCAACCGGCCGACACCTGCCCTTCCAGTCATCGTCACCAGTCCTCCTCTGTATTTATGTATTTACCCTCCCGCTCCACTTTGGCCCCGCGCGTGGCGCGCGCGACCGGGTTATGAAACACGCACGCGGGCCGCTCCCGGCTCCAGCTGCGCCTCCACTCCGCGTTTTGGCGGCTGTCTGCCGGCTGTCAGTGAGCACCCTGCGCGTCCTCTCAGCTTATTCTACGTGGTTCCATCGCTCCTCCTTTTCCTTTCTGTTTTTTTTTTACCCCCCACCCCTCTCCTCCTCCCCCCCCACCCTTCCTCTCTCTCCATCACACTCCCTCTCTCTGTCATCGCATCCATTTTTGTGCATTTAAGAAATCTCCAAGAATTGCCACCGCTGGAGAGAGGCGAGCTAAACGGAGTGACCGAGGAGGGCCGAGGACTCCCGAACGAAACCGAACCAGGACCAGGGAGCGGGCATCTTTTGATTCCAGCATGCGAGCGAAACCCCTCTAAAGGATGGCAGCGATGGGTTAGCCAGGATTTAACATGACTGCAAAATAAAAGGCAAGAGTTGTTTTTTTTCTTTAAATCCCCATCATCTTTGTTTCCAACTTTTTTCTTTTTTCCCTTTCCTATCTCCGGATGGATGGAGCCTTGTGTTTGGAATATCTGCACCGGTGTAAACCTCCAATCTGTGGTTCTGTCCAGACCTGCAGTGCTTTCTCTCACACAAACGTTGATGTGTACTTTTTCTCTCTCTCTCTCTCTCTCTCTCGCGGTTTTTTTTGGCGTTTTGGCATCGCGAATCAGCAGCCAGCTGTCATTTTTTTTGGGGGGGGGGGGGCTGCAGCGTAGTCTGATCGCCTCGCCACGCGCTTTTAATAGCCGAGGAGGAAGCCCGGGATGCATCTTTTGACGCCCGTTTCTCTGCAGCAGGGGTGGTAAACGTGCACGATGCTGCTAGCCGGGGCGTCATGCCGTGTGTAAGCCCACTTCAGAACCCGGTTGTCAGTTTAAAAAAAAAAAAAAAAAAAAAAAAAAAAAA